TTGCATCTTATACAGCTCTATTGTAACACCTTCCTCAAGCACTGTTTACCACATATTAGTAAGAACATTACAATGATTTTTGCTGTATGGCTATTTCCACACTGCATTATGTAGCATGTACTCTTTTAAATTATATAACGTTAAAAACAAGTTTGTTTGCTTGTGTATACTCATTTCCGTGTTCTGTGTAGTACTACACATACACACACGCGCACACACACACACACACACACACACACACACACACACACACACACTGCACTGTTGCCACTGGGTGATTTATTTCCTTTTCTTCTCAGCACACTGCTATAATTGTGTTAGCTCTGCTGGAGATGATTGTTACACCTCACCATTACCCTCCAAAGAAGAAAGGACTGACTTTATTAGGATTTGTCTCCATCGCCTACATCAGTTGGTAAGAATCATATAGTATAAACCTGGAGCTTTTCTTTAAGTGCCCTTTTCTGATAAAAAGACATACAAAAAACTAGAACAGGCAGACAAGGTTCTTTGGGTGAATCTGATATCTTTTATTAGACCAACTTAAATAGTTGGAAAACAGTTTTAAGCAAGCTTTCAGGTTCAAAAACTCTTTGTCAGGCTCAGGAAGTTTCAGCAGTTGGTATGTGCTCTTCCTGGATGGAATGAAAAGTAAAGAAGCCAGAGGCTGGTCTGGTGTGCATATGAGACAGGCAGTCAGTGAAGATGTAGATCAGGGGTCAGCAACCCCTGGCACGCATGCCCAGCATGGCACACAAGGCCATTTTACTTGGCACGCCACGGCACAGCTGTTTGGAGCAGCCCCGGCTCCAGGTAGCTGCTGCGGGCGACAGAGCCCAGGCTGCTTCCAGTAGGGCTTGCAGCATTCCAGCTGCCTGCTGGGAGCAGCCCAAGATCCTGGGGAGTCAGGCAAGTTATAATGTGTCATAAATCCAATGTCTATAGTTAGCCCATGATTTTTAGTATCCAGGAGGTTGATGAAGTGCAGTTCATAGGCTCGTCTCTGGGAAGTGTTTTGTAAGTTTCCTTTGAGGTTCAGGACTGAGAGATTGGAGAGAGAGTGGTTTTCTTGTGAGAAATGTGCCCCCATTTTTTTATTGGGTTTCTGATAAACAAAGTTATATGTTTATGTGATATGTATTTATATGGTATAATCACATTATATCATTTTATAGAAAAAACAGTGAGGGGGAGAAGGGAGAGAAGTTATACTTTGAATAGTCAGATGACAGCCAAAAAAAAGGATCATGAGAGTAGGCTGTACCCAGGTACAGAGAAGACAAATATGGCTCCTGAAATCACACGCAATATCCTCTGCTAATCCAGGATCTCACTTAAAAGGCCAGTTGTACTGAATTACCACAAGCCATGGGATGGTTTGCAATGCCTTTACATGGGTGGCATTCTTAGCTTGCTTCCAACAGTCAGAAGGAGATTTATTAACCTAGTACAATTCTTTTAACCCAGTCCTCTCCCAAATTTTTGGTGAAGACACGCCTCATTCATACAAACAACAGCTTTCCTAGAACTAGGGCAAGCATCATGATAATGTGAGAATACTGACTAAGCTCATTTAAGATACCATTAATTAAAGGTCATGGTGTCATCTGCTGTTTACCTTCCAGTGTGCAATATCACCCACTACAAATACTCAAAGGAACAGCAGGCTGTACTGCTGGCAAAATCTGCACAGTGCTCATAGCTGAAGGCATTTCCAGCCTGAGTCTCTCTCTCTCAGCCTGGGAGACACCTGGTGCTCCTGATAATAAGCCAATCAGGCCAACCAAAGTCAAACCTGGTCACATCTTGCACTGGCAGTTGCTTCCAAAGCCTCCTTTGAGTTGCTATTTTCTTCATGGAATACATGACTCATTGTAGCCCTTGGTATCCTCACTGTTGGGCTCCCAAGCAGAAGAGCATCTGCTGACGGTCTTTGACGTAACCCTGACGTGTCCTTTGTGTCACAGCTCCTTGCTACTGAGGCCAAGTCTTTAAAATAAAAAAAAAAATACTATTTATGTTAAAAATCTGCATCCAATCCATATATGTGTCCATTCTTTACTACAGCTGCCTCCAGCAATGGCACAGAAGTCCTATCTTACTGCCTTGTGCTCCTGAAGTGACATCTGATGGTTCCTCTTTCCTCCATATCTACAAGTTCAGTTGATCCATTTGCAATCTGGGCCAGTGAATTGGGCAGAAACCACTAAAGACTGTTTCAGAACAGCTTTAGGACCTTTCCACTCCATATACTTTTTCCTTAAGGACCTGCTATTGACTTCATAACAGAAATCAGATTTCAGCTATATTCACAGTGGAAGATTATTTCCAAACATGGGAGACCGCCACTTGCAGTAAAGAACTTGAATGCTTGAAGGGACAGATTTTGCTACTCCAAGTGATACTTAATAGTAATTTATTATACAAGTAGTCCTGTGGAAATCAAAATCAAAGGTGTAAAGACTCTGGCCAATCTTCTTTTCTCTGGGATCTCAGAACTCATGTTATCACATTCTAAACTTCAAGAAAAGAAAACAGATTGTCCTTTTTTCTTTCACAGGTAAAAGTCAATCTAACAAAAACCATGGCAAGAGATGCCCCAATCAGAAAGGTACATGTGCCTTTGGAGAATGGAGCCACCAAGGAGTGGAAATCCTACCACCTCTCTCAGCCCCATGAACATGAACTAAGTACTGCATCTTGAGATAAAATAAAACCCAAACTAAATTCTGGACCTCTAAACCACTACTCCATCACTTTCCAGTAATGCTTCCACACTCCAACTCTCACAGTCTAAAACATTTCAGTTTTATCAGGCAATAGATTCTTGGGCTCCATTTCAGCGTACAACTTTTCTGTTGTGAATTAACCAGAATCTCAAGTAGGGAATTTGCATCAAGATGTTTTTTTCCTCCTTTTTGGATCTTGCATATCTCTTTGAATACCTCCTCTGGGACTACTTTTCTTCCTTCAATGACTGTATAGCTTCCATTAACATTAATGAAAATGACACACACATAATGAGAGGACTGCATAAACCCTGAGCAGTTTTCCTCCTTAGATATTGTTGGGCTTCTGATGAGAACAATTCTGCTTCTGAATCCTATATTGATTTGATTAACCTTGCTATACCTGCAACATCATGCAATACTTCCTATACTTGCCCCAAAGCATCCAGAGGACTGCAAACTTATCCTGAATATTAAATTTTTACTTTAGTCTAGTTACTGTATTTATTATCACAAAACTATTTAAGGTTTGGGGTTTTTTCACCTCATTTGAGTCATATTTTCAAAATAATGAGATAATGGTTATTATATATGAGATAAACAGATAATCACACATGCCCGAGGGGCAAGTTGCAAATGGAAACTTGTAAGATGGGTTTAAATGTTGATAGTGATGTTGATTTAAGGAGGTCCAGTTGAAATTTGGTCCTCTCTAGCCATAGTCCAAATCTTCACTGGAACCAAAATTTTAAAACTTGGGTGCCTATTGACAGGTATATGAATAAGCATTTAGATGCCTAAACAAGAAGCCTGACTAGACTAACCACAGGACCTATCAAGCTAAAAGAGAACCGAAAGGCATAGTGCCTCTGAAAAAGCTCTTGCTGGAGTGCATAAACATGAACTCAAGTACGTGACTGAAGGTCCCAACTTTGAAAAATCTGATTCATACAATTGGATTCCTCATTACAGAGAACAAAGACTAGAATCACTCTCTGTTTTATTGCATTCAACTTGTATAGGTTATTAAAACATAGGTATAGGCTGCACATAATTAAAAAATAAAACCACATCATCAATTTCCTCAACTCAAATTCCAGTTGCTCTCTAGGGCTAGGGACAGACATTACACATAAACTGATTTAAGCTATCAGAAACTGGGTTAAACCTGTAACAGAACAGATGTTCAGTGCACATAAACCAGTTTGAAAATGGTCGAAACTGGTCTGAGATAAACCTGGTTGAATGTAGTATCAGACATAACTGATTTGGGTCAAACCAGTTTATGCAATGCATCTGTCCCAGACTCCTTGCTGGTTTAAGTTAAATCAGAGTCCCCCAGCATCCCGGCATGCTCTCTGGGCTGGGCGGGACTCTCTGCTCCAGAATGCTCTGGCAGAGACTTGCAGGTAGAGCAGAGTCTGCTGGCTTCCTCCTCCTGCCCTCTCACCACTCGCTGCTTAAGCAGGAATCCCTTCCTCCTCTCTGCCATAGCAAAGACCATAGCCAGCATGTGGCATGCTAGCTAATGCTGTGTAAGGTTCCAGCAGACACAGCAGGGTCTGCCTGGCTTCCCCCTGCCTTCCCCTCCTGCTGCTCAAGCAGGAAATCCTGTCCCCCCCCCAACTCCTACAACAAGGACCCCAGCCCCACAAACCCTGGGCATGTGTCATACTAGCTAATGCTGAAAGGTGTCTGTGTGTGAGTCTCTCCAATTTCACTGGGGCAGGCAGACAGAACAGTGACTGCTTAGGGTTGTTTGGAGCTAATCAACAGGTCAGCGGGTAAGCTGTTTAAGAACTTTGAAGTAATGAAGAGGGACTATTGTTTTGCTAATTGGGTGACAAAGACTCTTATCACTATCAGCCCCCAGCTGGCTTGCTTGCCTACCAGTTTGCTACAGACAGTATGACAAAGCAGGGAGGGAGATTGAAAAGCTCAGTATTATCAACAGATGTATGCACTGCAACCCCCCATGCCTTAGAGTGCTAGCCTGGGGCTGGGGGCTGGTAACACTCCCGCCCCTTGAGCAGCCAGTGGGGAGAAGCCTGGGACCCTGAAGGCAGACCTCCCTAATGAGAGAGTCCTGCCAGGGCCTGGCCACACGAGCCTCAGCTCAGCTCTCTGCAGAAGGGAAGGGAGGGCTGCTCTAGCACCCCCTGGCTTCTAGCTTGAGCCACTGCAGGCAGGTGCCTGAATTTCCTCAGTCCAGAGAGGATGTCTACCCGGTTTCAAACCAGTTCAGCCTAGTCAGGTTGGACTAACCTGCAAAGATTGAATCAATTCAGGGTCAGACTTTTTGAATGTCTGCCCCTAGCCTAGTAGTTAATATTTCCTGTTAGCATTACTGGGGCCTTTTTATATGGCGTTTGTTTGTTTTTTTACAAACATGCTTAGTCATTTCACACACTGGCTGTGTTTTCTGATCAAGGGGCCTATAATATATCTGTAAAATTAGACTCTATTCTCAACATTTCCACACTCCGTCCAGTAAAAACTATTAATATCCATTTCTCTCAATAATGTTCATCAGAAGGCTAAAAGATCTTTCTTCATGTATACAAGTCTCTTTTTTATGCCGTATCTATTCCTTCTCTTGCTACCATTGATCTGTTACCCTTCAAAGTCAGAAGGCACCTGACTCCGCTTTTTTCTCTAGTCCGTGGGGAGGAGAGTTGCCTGTTTGGGAGTCAGGGGAGCAAGAAAGGGGAAGAGGGTTGGGGAGCTAAAAAAATAGCCTGGTCTTGGTTGGGGTGTAGGAAGATTGCAGCCGTGGGGCTAGAGGGAGCAGGCCTGGAGCTGCACTCTAAATGTGTGCAGATGTTTAGTAGATCAGGTTAACCTGTTTCCAGTCTAAATTCACTTGCTCAGGTGAACTAATTTACATCAGGCCAGCCATTTTTTGTCTGACTTAACCTCCCCAAACGTCTGCATGGATGGGCACTTAGGTAGACCTAGTGCTAGTTAGGTCAATGTAAAATGTAATGTCTACACATTCCCTCAAGCTACTTCAATGTAATTATCTTTGCTGTGGCCAGTTCATGATAGACATTGCATGTACTCCACCACATGTGAAAGAAAGTATCTAATTCAACAGCAGTCAGAGTGTACTTCCCAGAACAAGAGTCCAACTTTCCAAATGCCTTCTGGAAATACTTCATTAACAGTTGAATGTTAGCTGATTGGTTTTTCTTTAGAACATGGTAGCTTTGATGACATCCTGTGTAGGAAATGTTTAAAAACTCTTCTTCTAACTGAATGATCCTAACCCAAAATAATCTCTCCTTCTAGGGTCCTGTGGATTTACTGGGCAACTAAACAGTGGGTATATCCTCTCTTCGGTTTGTTCAGCCCAGTGTTCCTAGCAGCCTTTTTCACTGGTAGCATCGTCTTCATACTATGTATCTACACCTTTGGAGAGTTCCTTAACCATGTGATTTGGGGTCAGTTCACTTTTTTTTTTCTACTTGTAATCAAAGGGGGAAGAAAACACTTTAGAGAGTGAACACTGATTAAATAACAGAATAGTTATTCGTGTACCTGCTTACAGAAAAGTCCATCCACCAAATGGGTATCTCAATTTCCCAGGACCTACATAAATCATACACAGAAAGGATACGGCAGTTTTCCAAAATACAGCTGGGATCCAATAAGGAAAAAACAATGCCATGCAAAACCAGAGTATCCCTGACTTAAATCTTTTATACTTACATGCAGAGTTGATTAAGCTATGAAATATCACTGTATACCAAGGGCCTAGAGAGGAGAGAAGGCAGGCATTAATGTATCTGAATGCAAGCAGCAGTTTCTGTCACATGAGTATAATAAATAGCCCATATGGGGGTTCTACCCAACCATTCACATACCCTCCTTCTGTAGCCACAGGCTAGTGACAAAGGAAGTAACTTAAATCTCCACACTCCCCGCCCCACATCCCCATATACACATGCTTGGAAAACTGTCCAACAGAAAAAATATTTGGGGCAGCTATGCTGAACAGTGAAACAAATAGTAGGGATCACTTATTTCTTTGGTTTCACATCTCTCTCTCCTTCCAATATATATCTGAGAGCAACTATGTTCCTGTCTGGAAAAAATGTACTCATTTCACCCAGGACAAAAGTTTCTGATATAGTCCAAGTTGAACTTTGTCAGTTTTTATGCATTCTCTGAGAGAATTGTAGCCTAACCCTAGAACAAATTTGAGGAGATTGCAGACCAGATCTTTTAAACTGGTGGGCCTACAGTTGGGCTCTCAATAAGCACACTTAACTGTTACTTAAGAAACAGACTGAGTTTCACAGTTGCTAACTATATTCCACTGAAGAGGTCCAGGTGATCTATCACTCAGAAAACTGCTTTCAATACCCAGATTAGAACATTTTGTCCATTGTATTTTCTTGCATGAATCCATCAGTAGATGACTGGCTCTGATAGCACAACAGTAATTTAAACACAGAAAATATTAAGGGTCAGGCTCTTTAGTCATTCATATCTGCTTCTTCACACTGCTTTATTACAAATTGTGCCATTGAAACTGAACAAAGACTGTGTCCCCATAGTGTGACTGTTAATCACATTTATCTCCACTGCAAGGACATAAATGGACCTGCACTGCACAGGAAACTGCAAAGCAGAGTAGATGTTAAATGTGCAATGTATGTATAAAGAATCGCACTTCCAATCCACAGTCAGTCACGTTAACAGTGAACTGTGCCACCATTTATCTTCCCAGGGATCTCTTCCCTTGTAAGATGTAGAAGAGTTCTTCTGTTTTACTCAAAGTCAGCCCTTTGCTTCCCCTATTTAGTGCAATCATTTGCTAGCCAGAAAAACAAGCCCAAAGACAGGCTTATTAATAGGATATGAAAAAATAAGCCTCAGTTCTTAAATAGACATTTCTCCACAATTTCATGATGGAAGTAGCCAGAAGGAACTAGAGATGATCAAAATAAGCAGCATCAGTTGAATAAAGATCATCTGATTTCCAAGGTGTTCACTGACTGAAGCAAAAATGCCAACTGGTGATCAAATTTGTGCAAAGCTCTGCATTTTTCAGCACTGACTAAGTATGTTCAGCTAAAAAGGAGAAATCAGTCACATGAGAATGTGTTGCTTAAAGTTAAGCCCAAATCAGGCCACTAATGCCCCATGGCATTGGCAAATTCAGTTTCCCAATCTAATCTATTCCTACTTTGATCTTTAAGATGCTCAGCAGCACATTCACATATTGAGGTGTACATACTCCAGATGCACATGACCAGATCCTCAGCCAGTATAAATTAAGGTAATGCTCCAGATGTCACCGGAGCTCCATAGATTTATGCCAGTTTAGGATCTAGCCCACATTATGCAGTCTTTATTTTTCAAAGAACCTTTAAAACCACTGTCCTGCTCCTGTTGATAACTAAAGATCCTATTTTGTCACAAGAATATAGGGTTTTAGTTTTGGGTTAAAATCTCCACTGTTTGTATCATTTCATTCTTCCCATCTCTTGTGATTTCAAATGTACATGGAAGTTTATGCCTTCCAAAGTCTACAATATTATCTAGCTTTGTTGTGCTCCATTAAATGGAGGCTGGTTGCTCCTCCAGAGTGAGCTATGCTACAGTACCAGGGTAGGCAGCCCTGGCACAGATGCCAGAGCATGGCATGAGAAGGCATTTTGCTTGGCACGTGCCTTGGGATGGACGGCAGAGAAGGGCTGGGGCTGTGTTGCCATAACAACGATCGGGCTCCTCACGGCTCCCCCACTGTCCGCCTCTGGCATACCAACATCTTACAAGTCAAGCTTGCAAGTGTTTTTGGCACTCTGTCCCAAACTACTGCCAAAATGCCAACCCCTGTTATAGTGACTGAGGGAAGCCACTTCTACTGCACAATATAGTTTGCAAGAATCAACTCCTCCTTAGTTTTTGCTTAATTCACACTGGACAAAACTCCCATTAAACTCTGGGAATTTGACCAGTGGGAAAACATGCATTTGGCCCTAAATCAGTTTGCTGAGCTTTAAAGGTGTTTTAGGACTGTTCTGCAAAGATAGGTGCTATCTGAAGTCTGCTGTCCCTGGCTTCCACCTCTAACATACATATCCAATTTTGGGCTCAATAGCAATTGACCCCCACCCCCGCATCCTAAGTACTTATCCCCTCCCCCATCTTGGGTTACACTTTCTTTACCATCTCTCCTCTCCCTCCCCTCCCCTCCTCAGACCATTAAATTTCATGTCTTTGCTTCATCTCTCTTCTTTAAAAGCTAAGCTCCTTAGCCATTATCTTAATTGGTTATACTGACCTAATCTCTTGTGAAAACCAGTAACTCAGTATGTATCAGTAATGACTCTCACCTGTACAGAGATTGAGTTAAGCGGTTTGACTAGGCAGCACAAACAAAAAAGGAAATTATCACATTAGCCCGAGTTGCTTATTGTTCCTCTATCAACTATGGTTTATTAAATTTATTACATTTATAAGCAGCAATACCCAATGTAGCCACGATTGGAGCTTAGTAGGAAGTGGAATTTTTTCCTTTATGGAAAGTTTTGACATTTTGTTTATAAACCAGAAGTATTTTTATTTTCTGAGTTTAAAAAAAAGTTTTTGAGGAAACCCAAAACTAAAGTGCACAAGCCCTGCATTATTTGTGAGAATGTTCATGCTGTTAGAAACCTGATTTCTGGCTAAAAACGTTTCAGTGGAAAATGTTGGCAGTTTTCAAAATGTTAACTATCTGTTGTTAACATACCCATATCACAGAAGCACCTACTGCACATCCATAACAATTTTGTCTCCTATGTACCTACATACACATCTCCACAACTGCAAACAAGCCAAACCACCTGCAACCTTCAAATCACCACCACTCTTAAAATAAAAAGCTCCTGCCACACAACCCCCCCAAAACACCACACACAACAAGAAATATTTCCCTCTTTTCATAAAGGTACAATTTTCTTAAAATGATCCCAAAGTTCAAGACTGATGATGTTCTGTCCTGAACAAGTAGTAAGTAAGGTTAGAGATCTTGTACCAACTCCATTGAAAATAGGATGCAGAATCATTTTGGGGAGTTAGGAATCCAGGCTGTCTAATAATATATAACATGTTTTGCATTGTTTTTTAACCTCAGGACAGTCAAGAGACCTCAGACCTTAAAATATACTTTATTATTTATAGATAAACTGTGTTATATAGTGTTTGAGGTTTTAAAACTACATCATTTTTCTACCTTCCACTCACACAACTGGACTCACGGTAACTAAGGCAACCCAGATTTTACAAGCCAAGAGACAGAAAATAATTGAAATAATGTGTACAGAAACATGTGGAGAATAATGTTTTTAAGAAAAACCTCAAAATGTTTTGAAAATACTTGCTGTTGTTAGGTAACATGAACACCCCAAAGTGAGTAATTGAAAGCAAGGAATCAAACCCTCCACTGGCATCAATTTACAGCAGCAGAACATCTGTGCCACACGTTTGTGCGCCATAGAGTGAAACATGCAACTGGTTCTTTAGTATCTGATCATTGAAAATCTCACACAAGGACTACAGCTCTGGAAATACATGTCCACAAGTCAGCCTGGAAGAGGAACAGGACGTGATAGATATCCCCAGGGATTTGCTGTAGGTGACATGTACAAGGTTAAGAGGAATCGTTTGGATTAGAGTGCTTGAGTCTAAACCTTCCCACGATAGAGAAGCAACAGTACCAAGACAATTCTCTCTCTCATGTGGACAACTGGAGATGCAGGTGAATTATTCCCCACCCCCTAGTAAACCTGCAAACTCCTTTCTAGTTTCTTTGCTTTCCTACTTGGAACCGAACATGAGCAGGAACTAACTGGGATGCCCATTGCTTTATTTACTAGCTATCATGATGAGATAACTACTTTGCAAGCGAAGAAGGGCTGCTAACAGAGAAACCAAGCCAAACTTTTCAGAGTCTTACACCCACATTTACAGAAAAGAAAGGTCAAGTGGCTTAGCTCTGCCCAGAAACAAATGGGCAACAAGGAATCTAGAAAACAAATACAGGCACGAAGAACCAAGCACTTACTGGTGGCAAGACAGACAGACAGCCAACAGCTACTGCTTGTAGAAATGGCTTCTGAAGAACTGCAGCTAGTAGCTGCTTTTGCAGAATTTAAAGGCCCAGCAATGAGCTAAAGAACTTGCTGGGAAAGGGGACATAGAGCCAGAAGAGTAAGCCTAGATATGTTTTCTCAGAGGTGCACTCTGTGCCATACAAGGCCCTCTTAGAGTCCTCATGTGGTGGGTCTCAAGCTGTCCTTTCAGCCTGTTGTATCCATTTGATTCTCAGCTTACAGAACTGAAGCAAGCTGCATGGCTAGCTGACAACCCTGTTAGGATTTATGGACTACTCTGGGCTCCAGAGTCCTTCCTCCAGAGTACCACGGCATCTCCTGTATCAGCATCCCCACGCTTAAAAGTGGCATCAGGGACTCCTGAACTAAAGCTTGTCTGATGAGCTTTAGGTCAAATATCCGCACGACCATTTTTAATTGCGGGGACACTGATACACAAGATGCAGGAGGCTGTTACACAGCAGTAGCTACACTCCAGCAGACTTGATTGAATCTGCTCCAACACACTGGAATTTCAGCCCAGCCTCCACACTCATGTATAGGTGCCCTTAATGTGCTTCTGATGTGCTGGGTTTTTTTATGTGTACTATATTTTACATAGATTTATAAAATATTTAAGTCACTAACATTTGCATGGGTGCTGTTTCTGTATCTTTCTGTTTGTAAAGGAAGACACACCCATGATTCTATGTAGCAAGCCTTTAGGAAACCCAACTTCAGTGGCAAGGCATAATTGAGTGAAGTTAAAAGTTGCATTATAACCTAAGGCTGAAACCATGATGTTTGTGCTGCATTCTCCTGAACTGCTACTGAATTGAGAACAGAGTACCTACAATGACTGGCTATAATGCTGCGAACCTTCCCGTAGATGGGCAGGTTAAAAACCTTGCCTTTAGACTAGAATTGAAGTCAGCACAAAAGTCAACATTCACATGAATTACAAAACACCTGTGCTTTTTGAGGCTCTCTGAATAACTAACACAATGAAGTTGATTTCTATGCTTCTTTACAATTGTCCAGATTATTCTTCATCAGTCCCTACTTTTATGGTGCCAAGCTGTTTTTTAAAATAAAGACCAATTCTTCTTTTTAGAAGTTACCCTCACTTGTATTACCATAAATTTAAACTTGAACTGTAAGGGTATCTTTACACAGGCTCCAGGGTGGGGGAGGTGCTTTAATTAGAGCAGCTCCGAAAGCCGCTCTAATTAAAGCACCCACACCATCACATGTATTCAGCATCCCGTGCTTCAAAATGGTGGTGGGGGCACTTGAACTAAGGTTTGTTTGACAAGCTTTAGTTCAAGCAACTCCATTGCCATTTTGTAGCACAAGGATGCTGAACAGACATGATACAGAGGCTTTTAGGTGTGCTAATTAATGTGCACTAATTAGCATGCATCAGAACAGACGTCCAGCACGTGTTTAGGTCCCCTAAATAACCAAAGTTGCCACATTTCCTTTAATAATTTTGTAACCTCCACAAATGTCCCGAATCTGCAGTGTTTGTATTTCTTATGTCAAACATAATTTCATAATAATCAATGACTGCATACCTATACACTTCAGATGTGTCCATCAAAGCACAGATAACCTTGGGGTAGACGTGTCTGGACCTTCTAATCTCAAAAGATGGAGATGACTCTAGAGCTAAAGAGAATTTTCCTTATGTGTCAGTAACGAAAGGGCTTACTATATCTTTATCTGTTGTCCACTATGGAATGATATTATCATAAACACTTGGAGCAGTATGTCTGTCAGCAGAGACCAAAGACACACCAGCCAGTACATTGTCACTGGCATTAAAATTCCTCCTGTTTTTCCTGTGCTTGCGATACCTGTTTACACTGACTGATAAAACATGATTCTTCCTCTACGAAATCTAATTACTGAGAAAGCAACTTATTGTACATCAGGTTCATTCTTGCGTTCTGTATAGTCTGGATAAACTCTACCAAAGGAATTTCCAAACAAAGCAGTAAAACCCAGTTTATTGCTAAAATGAGGAGCTTCGAGCCGAGGCGTATCTGGGTGGCTCTGCACCCAGGGAAGCTATGCAATGCCTGGGGTAGTGCTGTTTATCATGGTACCAATCACAATTAGCTGCTGCTATGTTCACAGCTATTTTTTCAGACCCCCCCCCTCAAATAAAGGTGGCCCTGAGGTTGCTGCCCTGAGTCACTTCCCTCAGTTACACTACATTGAAGGATGCTCTTGGGGGAGAGAGGGGAGGTTAATGCACTGGACCACTGGAATCACTCAATTAGTAGGGAAAGATTATCAACAGCAAAGGTATGGGCAGGGAAAGTAGATCACAGAGGGGGTGAAGAAGGGTGCTTCAAAAGGTTTGGTCAATCCATACAATCATTTTAAAATGCTTACTTAAGCCTTTCATGGTTAGCACAGTTACTACATATCTGACCACAGCTAAGGGGGAAAAATGTCGACACCCACTACCTTTGCTTCTTTAAGATTTTATTGTATTTTTTTTTTGTTTGTTTCTCTCCATTTTGCAAGGCATGTCTTATGGAATAGGACTGATTGTCCCAGGGATGAAATAAGTATATGTCATTAATCTTTCACATGGATGTGGAGAGTTTGATTTAATGACATGCCGGGTGACACAGCCTTAATGAGGCATAGAGATTTTTCTCCTTTTCCCTCACTATAACGTGATATCTTTGCTGTTTCCCCATCTGCAAAGCTTCATAGACTTTTAACAGAGCTAAGGGGAAGGCTTTTAGTAGGCTGCCAAAACTTGCCAAGATCAACAGTAAGCATTTGTGGATAGACATAGAGATATCTACCTAGAAGGCAAACAGAGTGAATTGGTAACTGGTTAATGGCAATTGTCAGGCTGGGATATAAAGAATGGAGAGGCCAGGGGATGCCTGATGGCCTTGCAGGTGAAGTTTATTTTTAAACAATCCAGAATGCTCTATTATCAAATCCATCTAATTAAGGGTCAGCTCCTTTTCCCATTAATAAAATACCTCCCATTGGTAAAACACCTCAAGATCTGGTCCCCGGTGCTTTTCAAACTCTCTTCAATAGCTAATCACCCAACACTTGCTGAACATACCTCACACAAGGTCCAAGCTATGCAACTGGATCACTTCTGGTTCCCAGTATATTCAACCTCAGCTCTGCTTCGCTCCTGAAGTGTTGGTTCAGTTCCATCTCTACACCAATATGCTGTACACACTAGAGGGGCCTTGTACACATTACAAGTCCCTAAAGAGGACTACCCTTTTTTTTGCCTTTGCTTAGCAATTTCTTCTGCTCTGCCTCTGAACAGGAGATTCAGCAGTAATACTGGAATACAAGAGGAAGGGCAAATGAATCTTCCTCTGCCAAGCAAGTGGTCTCTCCATGAATTCTGAAGTCATGAAGAAAAGAAAAAGAAGCAACACTATGATAAACCCCTTCTCCAATGTATTGTGTCTTCTGGTGAACCCAGATGATCATCATGTCCATGGGAACTGATGGGAAACACGGAACGTCACCATTTTACATTACAGTCAGGAAAAAAGCAACGGCCATGAAGTAGGAAATGCATGCATGTGTTCACAGCTTTCTCATCTCTTATACAGTACATATGAGAATGTTTCTGTGCTTGTCTGACCTTGTAACTGGACAATAAATTATGCCATGAACTTACAGTGGTACTGACAAACCCATCTTTTAATGCCCTGTGAAAGTGGGCACTATTTAGGCAGTACTTGTTTGGCTTGCCCAAAGTTTTTCGTAAAGCCCAAATGAAAAAGTAAAAGAGTGGAATAAATTTCACACTGCCATGACTTCTAAACTAGAATGATAACAAACCCCACTAATGAGGCTAGCAGTTAAGAATGCCTGCTCAGAAAGTTCGATATGAAGCCAATAACTTTCTAGCCAGAACCATTCTGTAATATAAACGTGCATAAAATTTCCCCTCCATTTTAAGAAGAATTCTGAACTCATTTTCTTTCTTTCTTTCTCTTTTCTTTGGTTTCAAGGTAATCTTGAAGCAAAAGTAACCTAATTATACCAACGGCAAGATTGCTTGGAGAGAAAGTTTATGTTAATTTAAAACACTGTTTAAGATAAAGCTGCTTGCCACATAATTCTATTACATTCACATATTTACTAATCTTGCTTTATACATTTGATTTCTGTTATATAGTTGCAAAATCTTATTAACATCTAGAGCACCGGAGATGTGCTTTGTAAATCCAAATAAAGAAACAAACCTGAAGTGAAACTGTAATTTAACCGCTAGTATGTCTTTGCATTGTTAGCGATGCATTTAAATGACAATGTTAAATCAGTTGCCAGTACCTTAGTGTGCGACTCTTATTTCATTGCCAAACCAATATCTCAGCACTATTGTACATTCATTCCACTAGGGTGCTGTTTTCATCTTTTTAGTGCTGCTGTAGTTTAGTAAAACATAAAAAGGAAACACATATGGATTGCTAGCTGTCTGTGAGTAATAAAAAATAATTTGTATCCACAAGTTTTATTTTTTTCACATGTTAAACACCTGCTAAAATTTTACCTCAGGCCTTTACCTTGCTAGAACTAGACTGCAAACCACATTAGCTCACTTCAAAGTCTTGCAAGGGGTGCATGTAAGAGGGCACCTCCTCCTCCTCTGTTGAAATTAGGACAGAATGGTAGGGCGATTTAGGTGGACAAAGTTGATCAGCTGAACAAATGAAGGGAGAGGCAGGAAGAAAGGAATGCGGACCAAATTAAGAAAAGGAAGAGGAGAAAGTGCCAGAGTCTATACTGTAAATCTATGCTTATATTTTGAATGGCCAGCCCCTCAAACTCACCCTGGGCTCTGACAGCCTAGCCTTGTTCTTTGTCTCATGCATCATTCTTCATGGCAGATCAAAACCTCACCTGTAGTTGTAAACCAGATTGTCTTCAGATTATTGCATTACTGGCTGCTCTGCAAAGCTACAAAAGGTTGAGAACAATTCTATGAACTCTAAACCATGCACTGAGACTTAGAAGGAAAGTAGAGCATTTTCTATTATAGTTTACATGGCTTTGAGAATAGGAAGGGATTAAATGTGAGCAGGGAGGTCTGCATTTGCAAAGTTCAAGATGACAGCTGAAAAATCTGTCCCCAGCATTCAGAATGGTTAGATCCTGGGTTTTGGTTCAGGTCTTTCTACGTTATGCAATCATAGTTATATAAGAAAAAAAAGCTAAATCAGATTCAGCTGTGGTAAACTGACATTGATTTCTATTCCTTTGATTTTAATAGAGTGATGCTGACTTAACCCAAAGAAGCATCTAGACATATATGTATTTTTTCACACAAACTTTTAAAGCAGTACAGCCAAGATTAGGTTTCTTTTCTAGTCTCTCTCTCTCCCTTTCTTTTTTTATTTTGAGTAGGCATGCAAAGCTAGTCTGAACTGTTTATTTATAGCTGTAGATTTTCATGGCTGTATAAATTAGAAGTTATTACTGAATGAGACGCCCGCCCACTCACACAGCACAGCTGTACATGAATCCTTTCACACTGTTTGACTGTATACAGTGTAGTATGGGGAGAAAATGACATGCTCCCAGTCAAATAATGGGACTGCTGCTTAAGCTACAGGCAAAAAACCAGCAATTAATTTTTTCCTCAGCACAATGTGCAGTGTACGACAGGTACAATTATCTAATATTATTTAGCCTTGCTAGTCTGTGTGGTACAGAGAGAAAATAGAGGTTTAGATGCACTACTGGAGAAAAAAATAACTATCCTTGGACTTCTTATTGTAAAGACTAAACCATATTTTGTAATGTCAAACTGGTCATTATTTCAAGCAGGAAGGAAAGACGCACTCCATAGCCCCACCCCAAAACTGACGGTGCTAGAATAAAGGGCTGAAACCAAATATTAGGAATGAGTTTCCTGAAAATGGTTCATCTTATCTCACAGATTTATAACAGTGTAGCTCTAAGAAGGACGCACGAACAAGTGCACTTGCAACCCAAGTTTTTCCCAAGGAATCGCTTGATTTAGCAGCAATGTCTATGTTTGCCCCCCTATGGAGTTACAGAACCAGATTCTAAACCTCAGCTACATCTGCATAGGCCCAGTTAACAGTTGCTTGAACTTACTCATGATTTACATTGGTATATATGAGAAAAGGATCTGGCCCTCAGGCTCAGTATATAAGTATTCTGTTGAAGTGTCTGCCAAAATAGTCCCTCGAGGCTGAAGGAATTTGAGACCATAAATTTACTTGGAAGATTTACCCCTTTGGGTTTGATTATCATCAGGGGCCCAGGTTTTCCTTTTCCATTGGAAAATGGAAAAACATAAAAATTTTCCCTTTTAACTGAGAAAAACATGAATTTTTCATCTTAACGGAGAAACACACAGATTTTCCACTTCTGCAAAGAGCACTCTGCAGGCTGGCACAGTTCCAGCCTACAAGGGGCTGTGGGGGAGCGGGAGAAGGGCAGTCAGGCAGGGGGTGCCAAGTGCATGTGCATGCTCACACATAGACGTGGCCACCAGGTAGTCTGGTGAGCAGCTCGCACAGGTAATTCTAGCGGTGGAGGAGAGGGGAATTGAGGCCCCCCCATAGGGAGCGAGAGAAGAAGGGACGGAGGGAGGGAGTTGGGCAGGGCTGGGGCTGGGGCTGCTGCCCAGCTGGGCCAGCATGTGGGGCTTGGGGCCTGGGGCCAGAATGTGAGGCTGCAGGACCATGGTAGGGAGTGGGATGGAGCTGCGGGCAGCTCATCTGAGGGGTGAAGGGGTGGGGCTGATTCCCTGCTATTGCATACACTCCTGGGGAAGGGAAGGAGGGGCATGTGCCCCCCAGATTTGTGTGCAGTCCGGGTGGGGGGTGGGCTGCCTGCTGTGGGCTCAGGCTCCCTGCTGTGCTGCTGTCCACCCAGGGCATAGTAGGGAAGAGTGGGGCTGGGTGAGGAAGCTCCTTGCCACTGGAAGTCCTGTGCCAGTGTGGCAAAGTGCCTCCTGTCCGCCCAGCAGCAGCAGGGGCAGTGGCATGCAGTTATGCCCCTTGTTGCTGCCAGGTGGGCAGGGGGCGCCTCACCATGGTGGTGAGGTGCTCCCAGCAGTGGCCTCAAGCTTCCCCACCCAGCCCCACTGCCTTGCTGTACTGGGTCCTGCCTGCTGGGCCCCGCAGGCCCTGGGGGTGGAGGAAGGGCAGCAGAGCGGAGAGCTCAAGCCCACAGGAGGCAGCCCAAACCCTCCTCTTGACAGGCTCCATACTGGCCGTGCCACCCATGGGGGAGTGGGAGCCAGGCTTCATGCTCCTCTCCACCACAGCAGCCCCTGTCTCCTATGGCTGGGGGGCCACGGGGCTGCAGACCTGGGTCCCTGGCCCTGTAGCCCTGGCAGTTGACGGCCCCCTTTGGCAGGGCAGGAGGAGTTGGGGGGCTGTGGGTGGGGAGGGAGGGGCACCAGCAGGGTTGTAGGGCTGAGGGTGACAAATGAAGGGTCTGGACCTGTGTCTTGCCAAGTGAAGGGGGCAGGGGGAGCTCTGATTTTTCGTGATAAAAAACCCAAAATCAAATAGCAAAATGTATAGGTACTAAGAATTTATTTTATTATAGTGATTGATGCACTGGTAGGCTTCCAAAGAGCTTTAAAAGGAGTGCAGGAGTGCCTGGGGCACCAGGAGGATCAGCAGCAGGGAACAGGGGCATGGGCACCCCTCAGCCTGCACAAACAGTTCATCACATACTGCCTGAAGCACATGCAGCAGCGGCATGCTCGGGGCACAGGGGCAGCACAGCCAGGGCTGACCCAGGGTTCCTCCCCGGAGAGTCCCCCAGTGGGGAAGGCAGGGGTGCAGCCAGATCATTGCTCCCATCCTTGCCTGGGAGTCCCACATGCCCTGAGCCTGGGCACCATGGTCTAGCCACCAGCACAGCAAAGTGGTTGGCCTGCACAGGGAGAGAGGGGGGGAACAGGATCTGGAGCTGAAGCAGCAGGTGCTGCCAGAAGCCTGGCCTGTTCTGCCCTGGAAATGGGGTAAGGAAGGCAGGCTGCCTGTGGCCAGCACCCATGGCCCACCAGCCCCAGGGGAGTGATTGGGAGGGCTTGGCCAGTGGACGCTTGGGCTTGCCCAGCCTGACTTACAATGGTCCCTGGGCATGCATGCACGGCCAGCCCCCGCCCCAGGTCTGCCACCACCTGCCTGGGCCCAGCCCCACTGCTTGCTCCGGCTGCATGCGGGTGTGGAGTTGGATGTGTCTGGAGTAGCACCAGAACTGGACTCTGGCAGCCAGTGAGAGAGCTGGCTGCCCCAAAGGAGCACCAGCCACCATCACTCTTGGGTGAACCCCCTCCCCCCACCTGCTGTGGTCTCTGTGGCCCCTGAACCTGTAGGGGAATGGCAAGGGGCTGGGATGCTGGCCACCTATGCCCAAGCTCTGCCTCCTAGGTGTCCGTCCCACAGCACCCCATTCCAGGACACAAAAACATAGCGACTTGTAAATAGTTTTGAAACTGGGAAGAATATTTTTTATTGTTGGTGGATAAGGAGGATGGTAGAGGGGCTCTGGTTGTTGGGGAGGGAGCGGGGAGGGGGCTGTGATAGGGGGTGTGAATTGTGAGGAGGCAGCAATGGGGGGGGCATAAACTGTGAGGGGAATAAAGATTTTTTGTTCGGACATGTGCCTGGGGGTCGGCAGTGGGTAGGGGGGTCTATGGGTAGGGGGTCTATGACAGTCTCCCACACCTGGTGTACACCTCACTTGGAGCCTTGCTGAGGTTGGGGGGGCCACCGCTACCACCACAGCTTATGTGCCCACTGCCAGGCTACCTCCGCTTGCCATGCTGCCTCTGCCCATGCCTTGCAGAACAGTTTTCCCTGGGTCTTGCAGATATTGTGCACTACACAGGCTGCAACAATGACCCAGGGGAGGTTGTTCTTGGCCACTTTGAGGTGGGCAGCAAGGGAACACCAGTGGCCCTTAAACAGCTGAAGTTGCACTGGATGAGGGTGCGAGTATGGCCCAGGCACTGATTAAAGTGGGCCTGGTGGGGGGCCAGGTGGCTGGCATAGGGCCTCATCAGCCAGGGCAGGAGTCGATATGCAGGGCCCCCAATGAGCAAGGGTGGGATGGCCACAGCACCCAGCTGCACGTCCTCCACTCCCAGCACCAAGTGTCAACTCTCCATCAGCATGGCCAGTCCAGAGTTTCTGAATATGCAGGTATCATTCACGCTGCCCGCCCAGCTGGTGCTCACACGTGTGAAGGTCCCCTGGTGGTCCACAACCACACGCAGCACCACAGTGTGGAACCCCCTGCGGCTATAATAGGGCCGGTCGCTGTGGGGTGGGCAGGT